TCATCATTTAGATGAAAATTTTGATTTAGAATATTTTACCCTGGCAACCCGAAATGTGACTCAAAAGCATACTGGGGAAACCATATTATCGGAGATTGATGGTATCGAAGAGGAGTTTCATTTAAAAGCCAAAATAATACAAATGGTAACTGATGCAGGGGCAAATGTCAAAAGAAGCGTCAGATTGGGGGATTATGAGCATCATTTATGCTTAGGCCATGGATTACATAATTTGGTTACAGTTGATGGCATAAAAAAAGTTGCCAGAATTGATAATCTCCTTAAAAAAATTAGAGAAATTATTTCAGCCCTCAGATATCGAGTAGCTGATTTGGAATGTGAAATTGAAGATGAGCATCTTAAATGTCTCCAATCAATTTATGAGACAGGTCATATCTTGGATATTGATGATTCTGATCCATACCTTATCATTTTGATAACGAAGCGGATAATAGAAATGTCATTACACCAACCAATCTATATAATACAAAAACGTTAAAATTAAATTGCCCTACCCACTGGCACAGCATATTAATTATGCTAGAAAGTGTTCGTAGCGTGAACAAAAATCCTATTAATAATGTTTTGAATAAAATAGGAAAACAATGGTTAAAACTTTTTAATAATGAATGGGATATGATTGACGAGCTTTATGCCGTATTAATTCCATTCCGAGAGTCGGTGGAATTTCTTTCCTCCCAAAAGGGATCGACTATAAATCTAGGGTTATTATTTCGCAGTGAAATAGAAACCCACATACAGATCAATATATCTGATTCCTCAGATATTATTTGTTTAAAAGAAAATATGCAAAAAAAGCTTGACCATAGGTTTCTAATTACTGAACTTCAAGTTATTTTATATTTTTATTAATAAAATTATATTTTGAACATTAGATATTAGCGACTCTCCTTGATCCCAGATTTCAAAATCTGAAAATTGTGTCAGAATATTTTAATTCAAATTCTACTACATCATTGCAATTTTTAACAAGACATTTAAAACTTTTAGAAAATGATAAAAATGCACAAAGTGAAATCCAAGTTGAAGATAATGGGGAGACTTCCAGTTCTTATATCGCCAAAATAGCTCGTAAACATTCCATTCCAGGCAGTGATTATAACAATATAAGTAATTTAGAACAAGAATGCCATATTTTGCTAAGCCAAAATAATATCTCAGAAGAGGATGCATTAACCTTTTGGAAGAAAAAGCAACTGGAACTTCCTAGGCTTGCTAATTTAGCTAGGAAGGTTCTTTGTATACCTGCAACCAGTACACCCAGCGAAAGAATTTTTTCCATTGCTGGATTAATACTCAATGCAAAAAGGACTTCTTTATGTCCCACCAATCTTGATAAAATTCTATTTATTCATGATAATTATAATTTAGCTAAATCTGAATTCTAATTTATTATATTTCTTACTTAATATTTTGTTTGCATTCCAAATATATATTTGTTATAATAAAAATCAATAGAATATTACTAATATGTGTTGTTTATGTGACTCTGATCTGAGTGAAAATGCAATTTCTTAGTCTATTTCTGAGAATGAGAAAATACATGAATTTAAATGAAGTGAGACAGGAAATAATTTAAGAAATAAACTATGTTAACAATGTGTTAGAAAAGAGCGCCAAATTATAAAAAAATGTAATACATTGATTTATAAATTAAATTTATTAAAAATTTTTTTAAATAAATATCGCGCCGCCACCGGCGACAATTTAGTAGGCGGCGGCGAAATCCGCGCGCCGCCGAACGCCGATAAAAAATTAAAAAAAACCGCCGCCGTCAATTGAGACATCGGCGCACAGGTCTACCTTTGACAGATGATGTTTTAGTTTTTCTCAAATCTCATAATGCTGGTTAATCCTTCTATTCCCACCGGTTGAACATATATTATCTCCTGAAGAAATCTTACAAGCTAGCCAGGCTTTGTATTCCTTTAGATATAGTAAGATTTAATTAATTTATAAACTCTCTTAAAGGCAAAATTTGGGAAGATTTCAATGATATATACATTAAAATATATTTAAGCAACAAAAAAATGAATTTTAACATATTAAAACTATTTTATTTAGCGCCATCTATTTTTTAAAGTATAAAAATAACAATATTTTTTTAAATAAATATCCAGCTATGCTAATTATTGAAGAAATTATTAAAAAATATAGCAAAAAATTAAAAATTGAATATCATATTCATTTCGAAATATTAATTAAAAAAATTAATTTTGATGTTTTTGCCATAATTATCAATTATTGACTTAGCTATTAATATTAGATTCAATATTCTATCTTATTTAGTTTTAAATTAAGGCATATACCTTTGGATCTGGTTGAACTAGCACTCTAAAATTTTGATTTTCTTAACATTTACAACATAAATAACTAACATGCAAAGTTTCATTCATTTTTGAGATGGTCGGCCGAATCGGTCGATTTGTCATGGAATTACCCATTAATAAAAAGCAAAAAAAGACGATTTTTCCACCTTTAAACCCGATTATCTCCGTTAACCAATGGGCTAAAAATTTTTTTAAGATATGTGAATATATAACCAGCCTACAATTTATCTAAATCGAAAAGGGTCGGTCAAAAGATGGTTGATTTGAAATGGAATGACTTAAATACGGAATCTAATTATTTTAATGAAGGAGGTTTGAAAGAATGATATCAAATAATTTCTATTCTAAAAATATCATCATTGTGCCATCTTGAGATCACTAAAAGGAAATTTGTTCATTCATACAAAAATTTTAATTAATAAATATTTGAAACTTGGAAGACTTAATGACATTTACTTTTTATAAATATTTTTTTAAAATGTATGAAAAAAAATTAACTATTACATTGAAGGAATATATAAATCCTTGCTTAGACATGACGTCCAGCTATAAATTTTTAAAGAATATTTCGATTCTTTTTATGCGATATCATTGATGCGCAAAATTATATAAATTAAATTTATTTATTTAGAAATTAAAAAAAATAATTTTATGAATATTCAGTTGATTTTTATTTAAATAAATTATAAGTTTATTGTAAAAATTATATTTTTTAATAATTATTCGTTTTGGAATTTCTTGGAAAAAATGATAAAAATCGAGGTATTGATATTTTTTTTAAATATAAAAAAATGATGTTTATGTATTTTTGCTGTCATAATAATAATAACAGTTGCAAACCCTGTATAATCAGTGTTTAGCAGATTTGATGAGAAACATTTCCATATTTAATTTATTTGCAAATAAAATTATTTGATTTGCTAAAATAGTATATCTATATATTCTATCAATTTTTACAAGTTAAATAATTTTTGGAAATGTTTTCTATTAAATCTGTACAATACTTTAAAACAATGATAAAATAGGATTTGAAATATAAATAATATTAACAATTTTCATCTGATATGCGAGAACGTTTTGCAGTTAAAACGGAATTTACTACTTGAAATGGCGTTTACAGAACCTTAAAGTAGGATTGCCGTGTTCTATTTAATGAATAAAATTTTTATTATAGGAAATTTATAATGTTTATCTAGTGAAAGCCAATCAGAACCAATTCAAAACACTTTACAGCCAAAAGAATTATTCAATAAAGTCGTCTGAATTGGTCCTGGTTGAAGGTAGTTTTGTTTCTTAATTCACCTCGAGAAAAGCGAGATTTCAGAATTGACATTTTGTTCATGGGCTTCTTCAATTCTAGATTTTTCTATAGATTTCTTTAAATATGATAATATGTTTTGTAGGGTTGTGCCGACCCACAAATTTTTCATAGATCAGATCCGATATTACTAAAAAACGGATCCTATGCCGATCCGATATTTATATTGATTTTTATTTACCATCTATCTTTGTATAACAATGTCATAAAAATATCAATATTTGCTATTTAAAAAAAAACTGACTAATTTCACTAATGAAAGTGTATTTATTTTTTTTATTCTCCAAAAGTTAATAATCTCATTTTAAATTTTTGCAATGTTTATAGGTGAATATAGTGTTAACAGCTCCATTTAGCCAATTTTTAAAAAGGTCTAAATCAAAATTTTAGCCAAAATATTACCTAAACCTCGAAATTTTGCCAATATAAGTCAAATCCTTTCTGCTATCTCTGGGCAAAATCAATAAGCTTGAGTAATTTACTTTTGACCAAAATTTTGAGTTAACTTTTTTAAAATTGGCTAAATCGAGCAATTTAGTAAAACTAGCTGAATTCATTATTAGATTTAAATTCCTTTTCTTGTTGCATATAATATTACAAAAAATAGTGTAAAATTTTAAAATATTTTTTTTAAACCTTACAAAAAATAATTTTTTTTTTTAAAGTTAATAAATTTTATTAAGTATTATGGAATTGTTTATTAAATAAAAAAATTGCATGATTATATACATAATTATAAAATAACCCCAAAACAATAAAAAATATTTGATAAGATCGGGTTTTTAAAAAATATCGGGCTGATCCGATATTTTCTGAAAACGCTAAATTGGTGCCGATTTAATTCGATATTTAATATCGGCGTTCATTTAGTTGAAACCTTATCCAAATCCATTGGGATATAGGGAAGACGGGAGTACACTGGGCATGCTTTTGTAATCCTCATAAAAACTATATATGTTAACTAAGAAGAGCTAACTAACTATAATATAATATGTATTTAATTTTTAGAAATAATATAAACTTGAAAATATTAAAATTTTTAAGTAGAAATGGTCACATTGGACATAGTTGTAAGGGGATAATCAAATGAGCCCCATATGACTAACCACACGCTTGTCCCTTTTACTTATTTACCGATCTCTCAATTAAAAATATGTTAATTATTTTTAAAATCTCTTATCTTATACCTTAATTGTTTTATTTCTTCATCAATATGATAATATGTAAAAGACAATAAACGCACAACGTCATTAAATGAAACGTTATTAGCATAATAATGCCGCAAATTTATGATCTTTTCATAATTATATTTTTTTTTATAAATGTTTTAGAGTTTAAAGAAAAGCGATCTCGCTAATTTCGCTTGTGATATACATTCCCACGATGCCCTGATAAATGATATATTCTACGTTTTAAACGATCCCAGGCATCAAGTAAAACATTATTTATTATTATTACTTTCAAATATATTTTTTTTAAAAACAAAATATATTTATCTGTGTATGACGAAACCGCTATTTCTAAAATTTATATATAATTTATCTGAGTTGTTAACGCTTCTTCAAAGGAGCTAGCTCTCGCTCATAACATTTCAGAATCATCTAACTCCTGTTTTCGATATTGGGTTTTTAAATAGTGCCCCCCCCCCCCCACCCACTATTGAAAAACACAAAATAAAATCATATCTTTCTATATATTTTAATAACAAAAATGAGGCTAAAAAAATTTATAATCCTTTATTTGCTTTTAAAAGTAGCAAAGTTTCTAAATTTGAATCTGTCAAGCATCCACGCCTCTAGCCTAAAACCTCTATAGCAATACTAAACAAGCGCTCAACAAGAGCATTAGAGGGAAGAGGGGTATTGTATTTAGAAAAAATATTTTTTAAATCATTATAATTATTAAATATATTTATTCAGGTATTGTTTGTTAAAAAAAATATCTTTTATATTCTCTTCCAGATATCTATTTAATTGAATCCAAAAAGATCTTCAATCATTTGAAGGATATTTTCGGTGTAATTATAGGTACTTTTATGTTAGGAATTTTTTTTAAAATAAAATTAATTATGTTTTGAGTCCCTATTTTAGTAGCTGCTTTTCCACTCTCAATTCAATTTGAATGCAAGAATAATAGCAGTATAGATATTATCATCATTATAAACCAGGATTGTGTATTCTGCCAAATATGGGCAAATTCAAATATATGTTTTTTCAAGTCCATATTAACTTATTTTGAATATAATAATAAAATAAATCTATAATATTAATTTTTTAAATTCATTGTCATTCAATAACTAACGTTTAGCTCTCCTTAACAGAGCCTGTTCTGATTCATATTCAATATTTTCATTTTCTTTAATATTTTTTAATCAATTTTCCTGATGTCGAGATCTTCAATCGATTTCTATTTTCATAAGAATATTAATCCAAATCGACCTATTTCTTTCTAAAAAAGAAGTAGAACTAGGAATTGTTAGTCTCTTAATGGGCATGGTGGGCAAAGTTTAATCTATACATAAATTGTTATTAAACATGGTATTTTTGCCTCTGAAATTAATTATGTCCCTTAAAATATTTTTTTATTGTTCTTTCCTAAAAACAACCCATGTGATCTTTTTGTTCTTTCCTAAAAACAACCCATGTGATCTTTTTGTTTTCCTCCCATCCACTAGGAAAACTAAATCCCATGTCAGAAAATAACTGACATTTGATGTATTATATTAAATTTATTTCTTCTTTTTTTCAACAGCTACAACAATCACCATCTAAAATGGTTTCTTGAATTATATCACATACTTCATTGAATTCACTAGTAGTGAGATGCTCCTCTTGATATTGGGGACCCAAAATATTCAACATTTGTGATCACATGTATTTATATCGTTTTCTCCTTTTTTTAAACATATTCTTTATTTTTTTCTTAAGATTTTTTTAGAGTATTGATATTTGACCAGGTCAAATACTCCTCCGGTCAATTGACTAAATTTGACCGGTCAATTGACCGACTTGCCAACCCTGAAACAGTTGAAAATTTGCAATAAAGTTATGAAAAAATATATAATTTGTTTTTATAAAATTATAAACCTTTCTGTAGTTATCAAAATTCTAAATCTGTAAGATCATTTAATTTTCAAGGGAGTCTAGAAATAATTGGAGTTAAAATAACCCATAACTATATTAAGATCACCTTCAAGGTTTTTTTTCAAAGATTCTTTACCTGAAATTTATTAATTTTCTAAATTTTTTTAATAAATTTGCATTACTTTGAGTAAATTGTATATATGGTTTATGTTATCACATAATCTTTCTTTCTTTCTTTAAGATCTTTTTCGCTTAATATTTTATCGTGGTATTTGAATATATCAAATATCTTCCCTTTTAAAATTATATTTACAATATTTAAGGGTAGTGTTGTTAAACGGCCCGATTAAAATATTAGTCAAAATAATATGATGTAAGTCTCGAGATTTGGCATATAGAGGTCCAAACCGTTCTGCCACATAAAAATCTCCAGGCTTACATATAATTATTTTGGTTAAAATCTTAATCGGGCCATTTATAAAAATCGGGTCATAACACTATTTATGGGTATATTTTGTTAATTTCATAGAGACTGACGAGTAGGATATAATTTTAAAGCTTGATTTTCTAAAGCTCTACATCAACGGTGACTGCTAAATTGATATTATAGCAGATACCACGTAATTGCTTCGATTCTAGGAGCGGTTATACATAGGGATATGATGTTTGGGAATTTCTCTTATAGTTTCCTCAATTTTCTTAATGTGTTTTTAAATCAAATAATCACGATTTATTATATCATATTTTGCTAAAATATTTTTTCCTCGTGGCTCATAAATCATAATATATTTATGCATACGTTCATTCTCGATAATATAATAATAGCGTAACTCAAGTAATATTCATTTTATGTAAATTTTTAAATTAGCAGAAATATATTTCATGTAATAACTGAGGTAAGATAAAGGATATTAATTATTAAAGATTAGAGAGATATGTAACAGGGTTGGTGGTTAATTGAATGTATGGGAAATATGGATTAGGTAGGGTTAATTCATTTTTTAAATAGAAAATTTGACAAGTCATGTAATTATAGATTAACTAATAAAAATTCTAATGATGTAACGGCAATTTCCTTGAGTTAAGTCTAAATTTTTTAATATAAAATTTTAAACTTGTCTAAATTAATCATTATTCTATCATTAAAATTTTCTAAATTAATTACCTAGAATATTTTGTATATTTTCCAATAATATTATTTGTGTTCGAAATTGTCATTTAGTTAATTTTTTTTTTTCTCTTTAGCTTTCACCTTTTCTGGTGGTAACCTCCTTCAACATCTCTCTATACTTCTTTATATTGGCTCTAACTTTATGGCCCCATTGAAGTTTTGGCCTTCCTCTTTTACGTTTGCCCATCACTTCCAAACTCTTAACTTTATTTCCTATGTAGTTCATAGGCCTTCTCATTGTGTGCCCATACCACCTAAGTCTGTTGGCACTACCTTTAAACTACTTAGTATTCTTGTACTGCGCACTTTATCCTTTCATGTTACCCCAGCCTCATCTCCATGGTTTGTAGACTTCTCTCGTCTGATTCTTTGGTTGGCCATGTTTCCGAACTATATAGAATAGTTGGTTGTACTATGGAACTGTAAATTTTTCCCTTTAATTTGTGTGGGATTCTTTTATCAAATAGCACTCCAGATAAAGATCTCCACTTTAGCCACCCTTGATTAATCTTACTCTTTATCTCTTTTTCTATTGTGCCGTTTGTTTGTATAGTGTAGCCCAAATATTTGCAGCTTTCAATTGCCGATATCTGCCATTCATTTATATCAATACTCTCTGTTTTATCTCCTCCTATCACCATATACAAGGCTTTCTATTGGAATATCGTCTGGACCCCTAGCTTTGTTGTTTTTCATATGCTTGAGGCATGTGATTATTTCTTGTTGTTTTATTGGTTGTACAAGGTTTTGACATGGGGAGTGTTCGTCTAGATGCAGTATGTGCGGATTAAAGTTGAGAAGCTCCTGAAAATATTCTCTCCATCTATTCATTATTTCTTTTTCCTTTATTATCAATTTCCCATCTTTATTTTTGATTACTTTCGGAGCTCCGTTTATATCCCAGAGTTCTTTTCTCGCTGTTTGGCTAATCTGTATATTTTATTTTGCCCTTCTTTGGTATGTAGATCTTCGTACTCATCGTATGCCATAGATTTGGCTCTAGACACCGCCTTTGTAGCTAATCTCTTGGATTTTTTGTATCTTGTCTTGTCATCTGCGTTTTTGGATTTGTACCATATTTTATAAATAGTTCTTTGTATGATTTGTTGCCTCCTCTTGTCAAGCCTAGTGTCGATTTGGCAGTGTCTATTAATCTGGATGAAAGGTCTGTCCACATTTTTTCACTGACTTGTGAGGAATCTATTGTTTCAATTGTTTGCATTGATTGCAAATAATAATTTGACCCTCATTAGTGATGCCTGGACAAAGAGTAGAATTTATTATAATTTTATAGCAATGGCAAGCCCCATATTCTATAAATTATTGAAACAGGCACCATTATGAAAGAATAACACAAAAAATAATACCATTCACAATAACTGATAATAGAGTAATTTGAAATAAGCATGGACAGTATAAGAAATAAGCATTTAACAAACGAATACATCGGTTCATGGACTTAATTAGTTTTGAAAGAATTTGGCAAATAAAATATTGCCAATTAAAAATTAATAGCTAAGGCTAAAAATTTATGAAAATATGCAGAATTAAAAATAATCTTTTATCATTTAGTAAACTAGTTTTATAAGAGCAAATCTCCAATTTAGGAAAAACAACTTATTGGACATTTCATGTCAAATCGATCAAAGAAGGCATATTTTCGGTCGAAATTGTAAACAATTTCTGGAATTATTTAGGTTAAAAACGAGGGAGCCATTTATATTAGCTCGCTAGCACACCTGGCTCGAGAAACAGGGCCTTAAAGGTGAGAAAATAGTGACTTTTGAATCTGTAATTTTAAAATGCTTATATCTCAAAGACTATTTATCGCAAAAATAAATATAATATATTATCATTGTAGGCAAAAGAATCTCTAAAGACCTTTCATAAGAAGAAAAAAATTTGAATAATTAACTTCGAGTTTACTTATATTGTGTTGGTTTTCTAAATCGGCTTTACCGGAATAGCCATTTTTACCAAAGATTGAAATCTTTATTTGCATGAAATAGATGGCGATATATGAAACTACGGATTATGGTTAAAATTTTGTTGCTTATTTACCAATAACGGGATATTTTTATTTTTTATACTAAAATATTCCTTATTTCTGGGCCATTCCATGTCATATCAATCAAAAAAGGTACATTTTCCGTCGACCCCTTTTGTAATTGTTTAAAATTGCTGCAATAATTTAAATAGGTGAAAAATTAAGAAAACCTTAAATAATAACTCGCTACATTTAGTTCACGAGATTCAGAGCCTCAATTGCGAAAAACGAAGAATTTCGCACCTTTAAAATTTTAAAATTGCTTTTATTTCAAAAACTTTTTAAGGCATTAATTCTATTAAAATGAATTTAAATAAAAGAGAATACATCGTTCAGGCAGATTTTTCTTTGTGATTCAAGATGAAATACTAGGATTTCACGGGACTAACCGCATACCATGTATCCTTTTGTGATTTATTACAAGACATATAATAATTTAAATCATTTATATTATATAACTTTTTTCCATATAAAAATTCTTTGAATATTGTAGCCCTAAATATGATGGCAAGAGTTTCTCTTTCTATTTGGCTATAGTTTTTCTCTGCCGCATTTAGCGCCTTGAGGCGAATGCAGGTCTTTCTTACCCCCTTCTATATGTTTAATTCTGGTGATTTTTTTACTGTCTCAGTATTTATCTGTAGTTCTAATCCCGTTTTTAAAACATTATGTCCTAAGTACACTAAATTTTGTTTGAAAAATTTATATTTTTCTATCTTTAGCCTGATTCCGTTTTTACCAAAAGGTAGTCTTGAATATTTAAATAATCTTCTATGCATATTGATTTCAAGATATTTTTAGACTCCTCCCCTACTTTAATTTGAAAATATGATCTGAGAGATCCAATATTGAAAATTCCTCTCCTTTTCTCAACTGTCTAATAAATCTTGGATTCTTGGATTGGGTATGAATCAACATTAACATTTTGATTTAGTCCTTTTAAAATCCCTACAAATTATTTTTTCTATTACTCTTATTTTTAGCAATATGTATAAATCTTTTTCAACTTTTTCTTTTAATGTATATGATATGGGACGTGATTTATAGAAATTTAGTTTCTCTTTTTTCATATGTATATTTGTGCCTTAAAATCTTTCAAACAGCCCAATATATTAATGTTATTTATTTGTATGGCTCTTTCAGGTATTTCAGTCATTTTTGGAAATTTAATTATCCAGTTTCTTCCAATTAGATTTTTTATATATCCTTTTCTAATTATGAGAGGTAATTCTAATGTTATATTGTAATAGTGATAGGGAAGAGGGTAAAACGATAGGCATTTTGCATATTTACCATAAAAATTTTAAACTAGAGTCAAACACAACAAATTATAGATCAATATGTAGTCCCATCCCTCATCTACAAGATAAAAAAAGTGTAGCCCTCTATCTATAATATTTTAGGAGCTATGATTAGTTATGTCAAACTACTCATTTTCGTCATTTTACCCTGAGTTCGGGGTAATAAGCACTAGGGTAAAGTGGTTAAAATAATATTTGACACATATTTATTATTTTATTTAACAAATATGACAAATTTATGATTTTTATTTACTAACTAATCAATACATAAGGATATGAATAATTTTAATAATTACCAATACCAGTTCTATAGACTTAAAATGATATAATTAATTAAATAAATTCAATTAATTTCATAATTTTTATAATGCTCAATTCAAATAATTTGGTAACACTTTATTAGTAATGCTAAATTCAAATATATATTGTATTTCATAATTTTAATAATACTCAATTCAAATATCAATATTAATTTGGTAACTTTAATAAAAATGCTCAATTACCGTTTTTCTCTTAGATTTCTCATGGGGTAGGATTTTATCGGATAATTTGTAAAGGGAAGACGTAATCCCCAACGATTACAAATGGCATAGCTTCATTAAAACTTGGAAAAGGCTTAGGAGGGATCAAATTCTCCTCAGATATTTCTCTCTCTCCATGCTCTATAAAACAAATTAATTCTTCCTCGTTATTAGGATTTGGTTTCTGACAAAATCTTCCTCTGAAAAAATACATTTTCAATGGGATTATAATAAGGGCTATATGTTGGTAAATATATCCTTTCTATTTATTCTCTATTTGTATGGATATTATGAAATGGAATATTATCCATCTCAAAAATCTTAATCATAATGATTTTATTTTCATTCACAAAGTGGCAGTGTATAACGTTGCAACTCATGAAGAACCTCAATCTGAATATTTCCGCAATCGTTTAGAGCTGCAATGATAGTATAATTCATTGTCTTTATCTAGTGTTACAATGGCTCGATTTGAGCCGATTTTTAAAAAAGGTTAACTCAATATTTTAGCCGGAAAAATATTAAGCAAGCCTGAAGATTCTGGTCATACATAAATGGCACAAAGGTTTATTTTATTAACGAAGTCTCGAGGCTTAAGCAATTTATCTGCCTAAAATATTGAGTTAGCCATTTTTAAAAATCGGCTCAAACCAAGCCGTTTAACAACACTATCTTTATCCCTTGAACCTTTTTAATAATCTTTTTATTTTATAAAAATCCTTATAACCCTCTCATTGATACTGAAAACTGCTCTCATTGAAATAATTTTTCTTTCATATAATCTACATCCACAAACCAATTTGCGTATTCTTTGCGATGTATAATATAAACCCTATAAATTTCGGACTATGAACATTTAAAATTATTTTAATTCAAAATGCAAAACCTACTGCGCATGTCGGGAAAACCTATTAAACTATCGCCTTACCGAAAAATGACAGGGAAATTAATAAATTATTTAAAAAAAACAAAAGAGAATGATCAAAAATGAAAAGATAAAATTCCCATTTAATTTAAATGTAGGATGGATATGAGGGGCATTGATATTATCATTAGAAATGTATAATTTATTTTTATAAAATTATAAACCTTTTATCAATGCCGCTTAAGTAACACTCTAGAAGAGATTAACAAAACTCAAAATCTGCAGAATAATTTAACTATGAAATGAGTATAGAAATAAACAGAGTAAAAAACCTATATTCATAACTTTGACTCGTCAATTTAAATAGGAAAATTATATAAAATCTACAGTTCTACGGAACCATTCTAATTCAATCCGACCCTAACTGGATTGGTCAAATTCGGACCGACAATTTCGAGGCTTAAATCCGAATCGCCCTTGATTTTAAAATTTATATTGGACTCGGAGCCTTATAAAAGTTTAAGAAATTTTGTTTTCCTAATATTTATAAATTTTACACCAAAATTGTTTTATTCTTTAGTTCTTAAAATTTTGCCACTTGCGTAAAATATCGTACTTTTTCAATAACCCCTCAAAAATCGGATCGTTCTCGAACCTATTTCTAAAATACAATTTTGAATTAGGCTCTAATCTTTGAAATAAATACATAAATTGCATCGATCGGATAAAATTATTTTTTCGAATCGGGTCATTTTTGAAAAGTGGATCTAATTAAACCTATTTAAATTTATTTTAAACCATTTTCGAAACTTTAAAAACAGGAATACGATCCTGTGTATCATCAGCTCTACGATTTTTACCGTTCCGAAGAACATAAATTGCGTCTGTTCTGTGTTCAGTTTATTCCCACCCTCGTGTATACCTATCTCAAAGAACATTCCAGGCTAAAAGGGTTCGATGCTGAAGTAAGATAAGGGCATGAATTTAAGAATATAATTCCTTTTATTTACCAGTAACCATTTTATTTGCGATATATATATTTAAAAAAAATGTAAATATATTTATTCTCCCAAAGATTTACTCGAAGCTAGAATCCTTCCTTGTGTCTATTCACAACTTGGTAAAAATATTATTTATTATAATATTAATAATTTTTATTTATTATTTTTTGTACAAACGATTTGAGTTTGATATTTGAATTGACCAAAATTTTGAATTAGACATGATAGTGCTCCCTAAAATAATCGTTGTTTTCTAATAATTTGGTGCGTAGTTAATGGGCCGTTGATATTCTCTTAAATTTTATAAAAGTGAGGCCCTAATCGTCTTGTAAATAGGTTTCGATTAGAGGCCTTCTATGGGTGGATTTTAACCCGAAAGCCCCCTCACTTTTAAAACAAATTTAACCAACTCCCAGCCCAATGTTTAGGTTTGGACATCTATTAGCGAAATGGCGAGGTGTAGGCAATATTTTACTTGCTATAATATTGAGTTAGTTTTTAAAAATTGGTTCAAAACGAGCCGTTTAACAACTCTTAATTGAAGTCAATTCTGCCTATTTCGCCCGAAAGATATTTAAAATCTGCCCGCCAATTGGTTTAAAAATATTTGTTAACCCGCCACCTCACATAACCCGCCCAATGTTTAATCTTTAGAAATCTCTCACTTTATCCATTAAAATATAAAAAAAATATTTTTAGTCTTTAGCAAATGGAATATTGCAATGTGATACGAGCGATATGCAAGGATGCGAGATTTTCTACCCATTGAACCATCCCAGTATTTATCACAATGTATTATTTTTTAAATAAATTCTCAAAGTTTTATCTTTTGATTTCGTAAAAACATCATTAGTTATATATCTTGTAGCTTGAGTATAGGTGGGACCTGATTAAATTTTTAGACAGTAAATTATTAATTTTGTTTTGTATTAATTTTCTCACATTCTTGATTATTATAGAATTCTACTTCACTCATCAATTTTGCTGAATAGAGATTTAAATATATTTACTTGGCTATACTCTTTAATAAATTTACGTTCTTGAGAGTTATATAACGTATAAGCCCATGGACACCTAACTCATCAAGTTCTTTTTGTTTTCACATAATATTTTATTTAACAAAATCATAGATTCATAATACGAATTCCATCTAGTGGAATTTTGGCAAATCAGATACCTACCCATTTTTTTGATATTATCTGCCATATTATTAGACATAATTTGTTTATTCCATAAAGATTGACACTTTTGGAAGGAACTTATATTTTAACTGATAAAATAAAAAACCAATATTAAACTCAGTTTAACATTTTATATTGCATAAATTTAAATAAAATAAAATTTCATTTTTATTAAATTTTTTAATTATCAAATAAGTAGATTTATTAATATTTAAAAAATAATTTAACATTAAATTTAAATCCACTCCAACCCTAAAAGGAGCTATCTACCGCTCCCGCACCTGGATTTAGGTGTTTTTGAAAAAGTGTAGGGCGCTCCAGGAGCGCCTTAACAACTCTGGCAAAAACCAAATTATATCATAAAATATATTTTGATAATTTCTTTACCTCATTCAAACTTTTGTCATACTTAAAACAAATGGGATATTTTACAACTGGAACTGTGAGGAAGAATAGAATAGAGCATTACCCAGTTGAATCTATAAAGGCTGTAGCAAAAAAAGAAAGAGGATATTATGATTATTAATTCGAAAAATTAAATGAAATAATTATAGTTCGTTGGAAGGATTATTCGGTGGTGACCGTTGCATCGACATGCCACACCATCTATTTCAAGTAATTTCAAGAAAATATCTTCAAGATAAAAATTCCTCAACCAAATATGAACACTGCTTGTAACAAACAAATCGGAGAGGGAATGATGGTGACCAATATTCACCAATTTTATCGATGTAGTTTTGGTAAATTCGTGGAAAATCTGGAAATTCGTGAATCAAGATGAGTAGAAGAGTTTGCTATATTCAACTAGTGCTGTAAAGTAACGTCAAAAAACGTCTTACCTTTTTTTTAAGAAAAGAAACGTCATACCTTATCATTTTCTAGAAGTAACGGTAACGCGTTTCTTTTTTTTTTGGGTAACGGTAACGCAAAACGTTACTCGTTACTTTAAATTTTTTCTTAAAAAAATATTAATAAAAAAACATATTTTATTGTGCTATAAAATTACTTTTATTTATTTTTAATATAAATAATAAACCGAGTTTTTAATTCATATCAACCACCCCTTTATTTCTTATTTAAATTTTCGCTCATTATTTTCAATCAAATTTTAATCTAACTAATATTCAATCAAAATTCAAAGTATATATTAATATTATTATTCTATATTATAATTTATTTTAAGAATATATGCCAAACTCTATAATAGTTGATTCATCTGATGAAGAAAATTTAACCCTTCCTTGGCCTCAATTTGAGACATATTTTATTCCAATAAAGAAAATTAAGGGTACAAAATCGACACTTTGTAAATGTAGATTATGTCCTATCACAAATATATCAACCTCGATGTCTAGCAGTTCCAATTTAAAAAAACATATGAAGGTAAAAAGATGAAATAATATATTATTATTTTTAGATTTTAATAATGATATTAATATAATATACTATTATTTTAAACATGTGTATTATAAAATAACCATTAAAATAAGTATACTTTCATAATATTTTGAAAAGCTTAATCATGAAATTTAGATATAAAACAATTGAATTATACTATAGTATATAGGACTGGGAACCAACATTAAAAACGTAAGATTAACAAAATATCTAATGCATTGGGTTTAAACAATATCTTCTATTTCTTGTTTTAGTCTTGCTATTTGTTTAATATCAAATTGTTAATAAATTTAAAGAATAAGATAGTGATTTTAATATATATTTTAAACATATGTTAATTAAAGAAATTTTCTCTCATAATATTTGAAAAGCTTAATTATGAAATTAAAATATAAGCAATTAAATTATACTATAGTATATAGTGCAGGAAACCTACATTAAAAACTCAAGATTAATAAAATATAATTATTGCTAGATATTTTTCCTGATTCCTTTTTAAATGATAATTCTGAATTATGAAAAAAATAAGAAATTGAAAAACCTTTGGCCATCAGAATATCAATTTTTAATTTTTTAGTGAGGGATTCAAAATGCAGTTAAATTTTTAATCTACAATTATTAAAAAAGCTTAGTTATTTTTAATAAAAAATTCAGTAATAAATAATTATATTAATTATATTTTGTTTAAAATATAGGCTTTACATTCCTCATGTTTGAAAGAAATAAATGAAAACTTAAATAGTAATAAAAGAAAAAAAATTGAAACTAATCAACTCACAATCATTAATATGCAGAATCCATCTACATCAAAGATCAATATAACTCAATCAACTGTTGATGAATTAGTTTTTAATTTTGTAATTGAAGAATTACAACCATTTTCAATTGTAGAAAGCCCTGCATTTATTAATATTATCAAAAAATTGCAGCCATTTAAAAATGTGATATCAAAACCTACCCTTGTATCAAAAATTAACAAAGCTGGTGAAACCATGACAAAAAAATTAGTAGATTTATTGCGTATTCCAGAAATTGTTTGTACAACTTTGGATTCTTGGTCAGCTTATCATCGGTATATAAAATATTGTTGTAGATTGATAATATTGCCTTTTAAAAAGTTCTTATTTAGGGGTGACTGTACACTGGCTACACCCAGACACACTTGAGAGGGTTTCAGCTTGCCTAGCTTGTAAAATGCTAAATCAAAAACACACATTTGATTACCTAGCAAAAATAATCTTTGAAATTTTTACCAATTATAAGATACAAAATAGTGACCAAATGCATTACAGATAATGCAAGAAATTATATAAAAGCTTTCAAGTAAACAAAAATTATTATATATTTACTAAAAATTTATTAGAGTATATGAACAAGAAGAAGAACCGGATGATGAAATAGTTCATCTGCTATTATGTGATCTATTTGAGAATCATAATGATAGTATTGTATACCTACCCAAGCATCATTCCTGTTCAGCACACACTTTAAATCTGATTGCAAGTGTTGACATTGAAAAGGCAAATAACGATGTCCATTTTAAAGCCATTTCAAAAATTAAATTTTCTAAATGTAAGCTATTGTGGAATAAACATGGGCAATCTTCAAATTGTGCAATCATTTTTAAGGAAAACATGAGGAAGATATCTTATTAAACCGGTTATAACAAGATGGAACTGTTTTTATAACTCCTTGAAATTAATAGATGGTCTTATTAAGGAGAATTGCCAAAAATTTGATGACTCTTGTGATAAATCTGAATTGCAGATTTTTAGATAGCGACAAGTCGTTCATGGATGAATTTTGTATGGTTAGTGTAAATTAAGAAATATTATATGTATATATATGTTTTATAGGTTATGGACCTAATTGCTACGTCTCTTTCTATTTTAGAGAGCGAAGGAAAAATGTATTTGGGATATCTCACTCCCACAATAACCATTATAAAATTAAAACTTAAAAAAATGGCTTTAAATCATTATAAGTTTTGTAAGCCACATATTGACTCAATCCTGGAAGGCATAGATAAGAGGCATACATTTCAAATATTGCTTATATTTTGATTTTATTTTCAATAGATTCAAACACATCTACAAAGATGAATATATACTATCAGCAATGATTCACCCACTATTTAAATTAGATTGGCCTTGGATAAAATCAGAGATGAATAAACAAAGAATGCAAGATCTTATTTTCATTTTGAGAAAAGATCTTGATAGAGAAAGAGCAGACCTGATTCCCTTATCCAAAACAAATACCAAAATATTTTCTGATAAAGATAAATTTTTTTTTGATGAGGAAATTAATGAAAATCCTTGTGAAGATGTTTTATTAAATTTTTTTTCAAAATAAAGATACTTCTTTAAATATTTTTAATAAATTCCCCGAGTTAAAATTTTTATTTATTAAATATAATACCATCTTCCCATCCTCTGCTCCAATTGAACGTGTGTTTAGCACGGCGAAGGCTGTGTTGAGCACTAAGCGCTCTTGTTTGTCTCATGAAAATTTTCAAAATCAATTATTGCTAAAAATAAATAAAAAATTATTACAAAAAAATGTTATCTTATGATTATATATTATATATGAAAATTTTTATAATAAGATCTCATCATTTTATGTATTATTTTTTATAGTTTTGTCTATATTATATATTGTAAGAAAAAATAAATATATTTTTGTATATAATATTTAATTTTTTTTAAGTAACGAATAATACGTTACTTTTTTGAAAAGTCAGTAAAGCGCGTTCCTTTTTAAAAAGGTAACGAGTAAGGGTAAAGCATTCTTTTTTTCCAATGTAACGAGTAACGGTAACGCGTTTCTTTTTTGAGTTAACGTTTACAGCACTACATTTAACTACCTCCCTCAAACACCAGTAAAAATTGAGAAATATATTAGTACAGGGCACGCAAGCCAGTTAGCACTAAGGAGTGAAAACACTACTGCATCTGGACATTATTTATCCAAAATTATAGATGGGAAAAGACGCAGATGCAGATATTGTCATACGCACTTATGATATATGTTCCAAACATGCTAAATCGTACCTCATATTAAATGTAAGGATTTTCATAATATATACATTTCCCTTTTTTATTATATATTACAAAAAAGAATAAAGATTTCTGTTGTTTTTTGATCTTATAGTATTATACATAATTTTTATCTTTTTTAAACTCATGGTGGTTAGATATGCACCTGGCTAAA